TTAGTACTGTATTTCCTTGCACTTTAAGCTCCAGCTATACAAAACCTATCTCCTTGACATGCTAGTTTTTCTTACTTTTAGCCCTGTGCCCATGCTATTCTATCTGCAACAATTTCCCAACTCATTCATTATTCCTCCTAGCCTTTCTCATCATCGTTCTTCTCTGGAAAGGTTCAGAACCTCACTAAATATTCATCCTTTACTTCTTTTTAAATTCATCACAATTTATTTTAATTATCTAAATCCTCCTTCCGACCGCAAAGTACATGAAGGTAGGAACCACTGTCTCTATCCCAGCACAAAGCACAGTGCTTAAACACAGAACATTACTTCTTGAGGTAGCAGTCGGGTTATTTTTAAGCTAAATGAACTGATCTGAGATTACAGAAGAGTTCTCTACGTTTTAGGTTTTACTCACTAGTCACAACTTAAGACCATTTCAGAAGTCATATATACTTTAAACTGAAGGTCTGATTTAACTACTTAAAGTATTAGAGTATTAAAAGCAGAGAGATAAAGGCAATATGGAAGAGCAGGGAAACAAGAACAAAATCCTTACTCTCAAAATGTTTTTAATTTGATTAGTATACTGCAGTACACAGTCTGACATCGGAGATACACAGAATTTGTTAATTCTGTGCATCTTGTCATACGTACTTGTATAGAACCAGTTAAATATAAAGCAGGTCTGAAAAAGAAAGTGTTAAGGGACCATTCAGAGAAGAATCAAAACTATGTTCTTTTTTCACTTAAAGCTTCCTTAATCTTTAAAAACAAATTTACTCTTCCCGACTGTTTTTACTGTAGTGTTATGTATTTGTTAATGTTTTTTTCTTAGATTTTCAATGGAGACTAACAAAAAAATCATCTCTTAGTCCTGAATTCACTAGTTCCACTGCATTTCACATATACTTCTAAATTTTCACTTATAAAATCAATTCAATTATTCATAGAGATGGTACATTTTTATAATAAAACTTACTTGAATTACAAAACATTTTTAAAGTTCTATCATTCTATTTCTTATGATAAAGTACTACTAGCTCATACAAATGTGTTATAAGAAGTGAATTTGGGGGAATAAAGTGGTATAAAGCAGATGAAGGCTGTTATAAAGAAAACTATCTTAGTTCAGTTTTGGAAAAGTTATGAAACGACTGCACAAACAGCTCAGTTTTGATATACCGAAGGGCAGAAATAAGAAAACAATAAAGTCCTAGGCATAGTAGCTGTACCAAGAGGAGATGGATGATAGAATAATGGGATTAAAATAAACCAAAATAATCGAAGAGCTAACTCTGGAAGTTGTCAGCTGACTTGACAAAAGAATCTGAAGTAATCTCAAGAGGATGAGGGCTGAAGATGAGGGGTCTTAATGGTTTTTATTTAAAAAAAAAAAAAAGCTCATCAAAAACTGAGGCACACAATTGAACAAAAAGATTATTTGAATTACTAATTTAAGATGAATCAAGTTTAAATAACAGGACTCTATCTTGAAATCAGTTATAAGAAATATAGTGTAAATAGGCAAAGCAATCAATGATAAAAGAGGAAAAGGCCAGTGCTGCACAGTGGAAATGGCACTTTTGGTTAAATATAATTTACTTTTCCCTTAATCTCTGTAGAAGACATTAATAAATGACGGAAAGTCAAAAGATGATAAAAAAAAAATTTACAGGTTTTTATACAGGAGGAGTTTATAAAAATGTGTAACTGGAGCTATCAACAATTATCCCCTTAAAAATTCCAAGTATTATTTGTGTTGCCTCTCATTTTTTAAAAAATGAATCTCAACATCCATTTGTCTATTTTATTAATTTGTTCAAAGACCCAGCTTCTAGCTTTTTTTTTCTCTCAACTGTCTTCTATACCAATGATTTCTAGTCTTTATTATCATCATCATCTCCTTTCCTTGGGTTTATACCAACATTCATAAAGTTAACCTCCTGTCAAAACACTTTCACTGTACTACACGTATCTACTTCGTATAGTACTTTCATTATCATTTTAGTTTTGGGAAATTCTAAATGTATCTTTTTGTTCTTAACTCTAAATAGTGCAACAGAGAATAGGGTCTATAGGATACTTACTCTTTACTGAAGCCTGTTTTCATAAATGTTCCCACACGTACTTAAAAAACAATGTGTTAAATGCATAATTCTATACATGTGTAATTGTTAAGGTAATTTAGTCACACCATTTGTATCTTTGTTGATATTCTTTTTGTCTGCCTGACATAATTCAGAAAGGTGTGTTGAAATCTCTTCCTATAAGAGATTTGTTCAGGTCTCCCTCTAGTTCTATTAATTTATGATTTACATATTTTGAGGCTATTTCATTAGGGGGTACACACACATAAAACTGTTTTATCTTCCTGGTGATTTATCTGTTTTATATCCCTTTTACTTTCAACCTTTCCACATCCTTGTGCTTTATACATTTTCTTGTAACGAACTTTTTAAAAACAGATCTAATAACCTGTCTTTTCACTAATGCATTTATTCCTTTACATTTGCTATTGTTATTCCTGGTGCACAGGGACTTAGATTCTATCATAATTTTTAAATTTATTGTTTCCCCATTATACTCCATACTATTTGCTATTTCCCTCCTTGGGGGGACAGAGGGAGAGATCTCTTGAAATCTCTTTTGTGAGACCAGCAAGACTCAAAGTGTGATTGACAGTTCTTCATTATTCATTGTAGTTCCACTGTGAAAGCCAATATATACACATACTTAAAAACTACTCAAGTATCCTAACAGTTATAGGATTTCCACTCATTTTACAGAACACTTTGATAGATGTAATTTAGTAGATAAAGGTCTGTTATGAAGAACTAAGTTTACTTTTGAGATGGCAGCTATATAATAAAAAAAAAGTTTAATATGAAGGAACTACTACTTCGGTATTTTGTTAAAATTCTGTTAAAGTTCATTTAAGGATAACATACACAAATTATTCTTAAGACATCCAATTTAAGAAAATACTAAAATAGGCATGGTAGAATGTTTATTAAAGAAAATCTTCATGTTCACAAATTTTAAAACTGTGGTCTCAAATGATTTAACATGCCCTCTAAGGCTTGCAACAATCTCCTTCACATTTAAACACTACTATCTCTTAATTCTCTGTATTTCCCCCATACTACTTTCCTAAGCATAAAAAAAATCTACCTATATCATGAAGCAATGAGTATTTCCAAATAGAGTCCTATGAAAACCAAAAGAACAGTGACCAGAAATAAAGCATATTAAATTTTAAAAATTAATCAGTATTTTTTTCAATATTAAAGGCATTAATTGTGTGAGTACATATTTTTATGGTCATCTACTTCAAAAAAGCAAAATCTAGCAATGAGAAATAAATTTACTATTAAATATAGTTTAAAAACTAAATCATGTCAAAGCTTTATTAGAAAGATCTTACAAAAAACAGAAGTAAAAGATTTACAAATGTAAGTACTGTTATGCATTGAACTGTATTCTCCCAAAAGTCATATATTAAAGCTCTAATCCTACAATATGACCATCTGGAGACAGGGACTTTTAAGGAGATAATGAACGTTGGATGAGGCCCTCATCCAATTAGACTAGTGTCCTTGTAAGAGGAAGAGAAACCCAGAGAGCTCAGAAGAAAGTCCATGTGAGGACACATGGAGAAGTTAGCCATCTGCAAGCCAGGAAGAAAAAGCCCTTATCAGAAAGTCAATCTGCTGGCACCTGAGAAAATAAATTTCTGTTGTTTAAGCCACTCAATCTGTGGTATTTTAAAAGCCCAAGCAAACTAATGCAACTATAGTAAAAATTAAAATGCCACTTATTTAAAATAGGCCTTATATAAAAAATATCCAGAAGAGTTTGGTTTAATTCTACCTCAGGTACTTCTCAACTATGATGCCTGTATATCCTTTTTATGAAGGGTAATGCCATCCACAGCTCACAGAGTGATGAGAAAAAAATGAAACATTTGAGAAAGCTTTAATGCTTTGTAAAATGCTACTTACAATGTACATAGAAAAATGGCCATGACTACCCCTACCCGAGCACAGAAGTATACACAGCAGAAGAAAACATTTACTAGGCATCTAGGACATGATTAGCACTTTTATAAATCTTTCATTGAAGATGGGTATCTCCATTTTAAAAAGTGGAGAGTCTGATGTATAGTTTTATATGTTGTCTGAGCTACCATGATAGCTGGTAAGAAACAATGAAATTCAAACTTACTTCTATCTGCTACCAAAGGCCAAATATATCACATTGTTCAAGTTTATGAGTTTTACTGGCTGTTAACAGCAAAACTGACAGCCCTTACCTCAAAATTAACAATGTGAAAGCCAATGTGAGGCATCATCACCCTGAATCTGAATAAAGAGAATTATAAGCTAAGAACATGATGATATTTACAGTCTTACCACATTGTGAATATGCAGTTGTATTCTGGATTTATGTGATCTGACATTGTATATAAAGTCAAATGATACATTAATTAAAATATCTACCTAAGTAAGAATATATGTGTGATCAAGTACATTTTAAGATTCCAAAAGGGATTAACAATGGTGTATGTGGCACAAGTTTTTCATTTTGTAAAAGCCTGGTATCTCTAAAATACATTTTCCATGTGACTCTTTCTGTTACTAAGTTTAGACAAATACTTAGAATAATTAAAATTAGGATTCCTTAGACTATATGAACAGTTAACTTCTATTATAGAGAGTAACCAGAAAAGAAAAACACTAAAGATCTTTAATATAAACGCGATCATTATTATGTGAAACTTACTGAAATTTTGGAGCCCAAACCGTTTTCCATGAGATTGTACTTGAGGATTGGTAAGAGGACAGCAGAATATGCAAACATGTTCATCATGTATAAATACATTAAAATATGAAAATTAACATGACATTTTGAGCCTGGCTATAAAAAAAATGTTTTCTTACTGCCATAAAGGGGTTTGTTTTTATTAACAGATTCAGATTTAAAGATATATAGCTAACATACAGTTTAATCTTACCAAGTTGTGATTGGTTTCCATCAGCCATCTGTATCAGAGCACTGTCTTTCTTATTGTACAAAATCTTCACACGCTGCACATCTCCATAAACACCTTTTTTGGAGCCACAGAGAGGTAATCCAAAAATGGAATTAATTTTACATGCAAGTCAGCTGAAGATTATCTTTCTGACATATTAATGAAACATTCAGACATCAACATGATCACTCATTCAAACTCATCATTCTCACAAATGAATAAAGAAGATCAAGATTTTGAACAGTGAATTTTGAAAAGAATAATTTTTGATAAACCCTCAAAGCTATGTGAATGATATTAAATTAAAGACCATGCAAAATAAATCAGCATGCATTAAAACAAATTTTGTGTCTATGGAGAGTTTTAAATAGCAAAGAAAAATAGCAAAAGATTTACTATTCAACTTTAAGCCAAAGTGCTAGCTACAAATAAGAATTAAGGTGAAACAAAAATCAAATCAATAATAAAAGTATAGTGCTAACAATAACATACCGAAGAGGGTAAACAGACTTTGGGGCGTAACCATCTTTAGAAGGAGAGAAGAGCAAGCAGCGTAAGACAAGAAGAGAGAAGAGTCGAGGAAGAGCGGAGATGAACAGATCATCCATAACGAAGGGTGGTTCCCGCAGAATGGTGAGGTGGTCATGGATCATGGTTCAAGGCGGTTAATTGGGGCAAGTTGGTCCGAGGAACATTTGTTCAAGCACAGAAGCATGAACATAGGGAATGGAGACAGGGAATGAAGACAAGGACAAGGAAAATAAAGGATAAGACAGGGAAGGGAATGGGCATTTGGGAAAAGACAAGGAAAGGGAAGGTGAACACACAGGGGAAAAGGATGAAATGGGGAAGGGAAACAGCAATGCAGAAGAAAAAAATAAGGAATTGGGGAACAAAAAAAAAATAAAATATAGGTCAGTACATAGGAAATGCAGGAATTTGGTCAGAAAATGGTTGGTTTATGTACTGTACAAGAAAAACTGAGTAAAATGTAGTCATCCAAGACAAATATGGGTAAAGTACATCTATATCAAAGAGTAAATTACAGCATTTCATCTCAACATAGGGAAGGAAAGCATGCACAGGAATTTTAAACTTTGAACTTTAACTGCATAAGCATGGCTGGTTATGAAATGCAGGCAAAATTCTTAAAAGAAAAACAAAGGCACTCTGATTCAAACATTTTAGCATGCAGAACTGTGAATGACAATAGTATTAAATGATAAAATAAGCTTAATGTTCGTATTAACAGAGGCCAATTAAAAATGAAACAAATATTCAAATTAGACATTGTAAACTGATACACTGAGCTTCCCACATTTCATACCAGCTTTCATAGCAATCAAAATAAAATATACCAGACATAAAATGTACAACTAAAGAAAATAACTCAGCAATAAATTTTATTTAACAAGGGGGGGAGGGGATAAAGTTGAAAAATATTTTTAGAAGACAATGACTAATAACTGCAAAGAAAAAATTACTAAGAAAGACTGGAAGAGTGCCTCGTCAAGATCTTTGGAAGAACCTTCAAAGAAAAATGTATTAGAGTAGTTCACATAAAATAAGATTTAAAAAAATGCAATGACACATAAGCATGAAATGAACAAGCAAATAATTAGAAAAGGCAAAGAACAAAATTGTTTTACAATTAAATCTGCAAATTAGACCACATTTGCCTTTGAGAACAACAAAAAGAAAAAGCCATACTTTAGTACTTCACCATATTTTTCTTAGGAAAAATAGGTAGTTAGGTTAAAAATAATAATAATAATAATATATAAAGAGATATGACTAAGGAAATATTACCTAAACAAGTACATAGATTTTATTCAGAAGTAGAAACATACAGAAAATACTTTGACTAATGAATGTACATAAAAAGAAAGGCAAGTGCAAAATGAAATAAACATGAAAAACTTTCACAAATGAAATGGAGTTAAAGAATAAACATTAGAAAATTATTTTACTAACCTCTTCATTTAAATTGCTAACCAACAGGACTGTATTGCCACCAGCTGAGACTCCAGGCATACCCACTCGGCCAGCAGCAGCTGCAGCAGCTGCTGCAGCAGCATTTGGAATAGCCAAAGGACTCAGAGCTCCTGGAACAGCTGCAACAGGAAGCCCTAATTTTAAAATAAAGCATATTTTACGAAACACACACAAGTCGTTTACAAAAACCAATTTAAGCACGATGGCTGCATGGCTTAGGGCTGACCACTCCAAATGGTTCCTGAAAGTTAATTTTTATAACATTTAGAAAAATGGTTTGCTGATAATGTAGCAATTAGAGAAAATTAACTGGTTTCAATGAAATCATTAAATATTAGGGCTAAGGTACATACCTGTAGTATGCTAAAAAATTAAATATATAATATTCCATTTCCTATGGAAAAGCAAACAAAGCATAAAGAATATATTTCTAGGTCAGAAACTTGAAAAATTCACTTCCATGGTTTATAGCAAGAAGGCACATCTAAAATAAATATCTTCAACAATAACTCAACACATTGTTATACAAGTGCTATCTTCTTCATAAACTCATACTTGAAAGCAGACAATTACAGTTTATGAAACAAATATAGTAAGTTCTTCAGTTCTTGGAGAACTATCACCCGGAACACATCATTATTTAATTCATTCATTCAAATGACCTAAAGAAAATCTTACCAAAGTTTATTTGCCTTAATTTCACACTCAAGTAGTCATAATGAACACAACAAATTTCTCAAACACATTTCCCCAGTAGAAAGACTGAGAAAATGTCACTGTTAACACGCAAGCTTTCTCTTTCAGTCTTTTCCTACCTTTTGCTTACCAGTTTTACCACTTCCTTATTTCAATTGTTCTATTTTCCAGTCTTACTATTGTTCTATCATGTTTAAGATACGCCAGTCATTTATTCTAGAGAGAATTTTGTCTCACCATTTAAGAATAAACTCAAAATCCTTCCCTCCCTTCAATTCTTCCATGCCAGTTTATATCTCAATAAATACTAGTTCACTAATGAATTGTATTTTTCTCCTTCCCATGAAAAAGGAAACATCCAACCTACATGAAGTTAATTCATGACATACCTGGAGAGAAATGGCCCTTAGTATTGTTGTCCCGTTAAGTTCATATTTTATTTCTTCTTTTCTCTTTCCACCAGCCTTCTTGTGTATGTCATAAGGATGTGATGTTGCCTTTGGTTTCAGATCTCTTAATATTTTAGCCAAGTTTTTTTTTTTTTATCTTTTTACTTTATAGAAACTGATTTCATTGACAGTCTGAAGGGTTAAGAGTCACAATTCTTATTATCTGCAGTTTGACTTAATAAATATTTTCCAATTTTTTTTTTAAAGATTTTATTTTTTGACAGAGAGAGAGACAGCAAGAGAGGGAACACAAGCAAGGGAGAGTGGGAGAGGGAGAAGCAGGCTTCCTGCCGAGTAGGGAGCCCTATGCGGGGGCTCAATCCCAGGGCCCTGGGATTATGACCTGAGCTGAAGGCAGACGCTTAACGACTGAACCACCCAGGCGCCCCTCCCTCCAATTTCTTTTTCTCTCTTCTCTCTGAGCAGTTCAACAGTGGAATAATATTTTTTTCAATCTTTTTGTGGATGAGCTTTAGTGCTTTTTGCCCACTTTTCCAGATTCCCTTTTTCTTATTTCTCCATTTTCTTTTTTAGATTTTATTCTTTGTTATGGAAAATATCCAACATTAAAAAAAAAAAGAGAGAGAGAAAGAGACTAGAATAACAAACCCCACACACCCATCACACGGGTTTAACAAGTATTAACTCATGGCACTCATGGCCAATCTTGTTCCATCCGCTCATCCATTTTATGTATTATTTTTCATCCTTTTTTATTTTAAAAGTAAAACCCAGAAACAAGTATCTAATTTTAAAATAAAAACTTCTCATGTCTTTAGTAGTCTTTGATGCCTTTTTGGATCCACTAGTGTGGTGGACCTTTGCAAACTATTCTACAGCATTTCAAACTTCCCCACATTAAATACTGTAGCTCTCATTATACTTTATAGGTTGTTTCCATTAAATATTCAATGGGTATCTTAATTTGCTGCCAATGAAAATGACCTCTCCCCCTCCTCCTTTAATTATCATTCCTTGAAAGTATTTTTCAGGTAGTTGTGGCTCAGTGTACATAGCATTCAACTAAAGTTGATAACACAATTTATTCAATAATTGGTGGCAGAAACTCCAGATGTAGCCATTACATTGTCAAATCATTCCCTTGTTTCCCTGCCTTAATTTGCTGCTCTTCCGTGGAAAAAGTGCTTAAAATTCTGTTAAGTTTCTTGGTCTTAATGGGTTCCAGTCGGTGGCCCAAAACAAACACCAACAACACATGGCATGCAGAAGAAAAAAGTTCAGTATCAATCCTCAAATTCCTTTAAGAATAAAAGATTTTTTTTTAATCCATCAAAGAAAGACATTTGAGCCTCAGCTCTTGTCCACAATGAAAAATTAAACGTTTAATTTCTGGTTTCATTTCCAATTCTACCAAACAATTTTCAGGGCCCACTAAACCAAAATAATTTAACTGAACAACTAATTATAATTAGATACCAAAATTAATCTAAACAATTTCCTAAATCCCTAGCATTTTCCCTGTCCATCTCTTGACTCTTACCGCCATCCTCTGTTTATTAAAATACTATTTAATAGAATTGTCTTGAACTTTGTATCCCCACACTGAAAAAGTTCTCAATCTTTTTGGTCTCAGGACCCCTTTACAAAGTAAACTCAGAAATTACTGAGGACCACAAAGACCTTTTGTTTATTTGGATTATGTCAACTGATATTCAAAATACCAGAAATAAAAACCAAGAACTGTTTTAAAAAGAACAAGAACACATCCCATATTCTATTAGCCTTCAGAGTAATGTATGCTAGGTTAGAGTAAGAGTAAAAGACAAATAATATTTTAGTATTGTCATGAATATAGTTTTGACTTTGTTAGAGACCAAGAAATCTCTAGGTATTTTGTGAACCACTGCCATGTATACTTGAGTATATTTTGTACACATGAGGTTAAGAAATGGTAAGGAATTAAAAAAAATACATTTATTCATTTCAAAGAAAATGCTATAAGAGAGTATGGGTATATTAAATAAAAAGAAAAGAAAAAAGAATGTTAGACATGCAGATAGATTACACACTACTGACACTTCCAGAATTAAGCTCTAAGTCATCTATTACTCATCTTTCCCTGTTGACATTTCAAGGAAAATTATTAATTCATGAAATATAAAATACCAATCTACCTAAATTTGATGTATCAATCTAAACACGACAGTCTAAGCTTAATACTTCATTTTTGCAGAAAAGCTTCTTTTGAAATACATCTCTACAATGTCAATATACAATTCAACAATCTCATGAAAACTTCACCAAAATATTCAAAGGTGATAGAAAATTTGTTCTAAGAAACTTTAAATATTCAAGACAACTGTTTTCGAAATACATTTCTTGTTGAAATCTGGGTTTTACAATGAAGGTAGGTAACTTGGTGGCACAAAATTATTTAAAACATCAAGACTTACGGAAAAATGATCACTGAGAATTAAAAGAAAACTGAAATTAATTTAAAATAGTAACTGAAAATTAAAAGTCCAGGCTGGAGTCTTAGTGTGACAGATCGGCAGACTTTTTTTTTTTTTTTTTTAAATGCCAGGAAATGTCACCTTTTATTAACAACACTGCACTTTAAGTAACAATAAGACTGCAAATTTTCTAGTGAGAAAATGGGTTCAAAGGAGATGCAATTTACCTCCTAGTATGGAGGTAAGGGGAAGCTTAGCAAAAAGTGGAATGTAAGCTGTGAGATCCCCACTGTCTACTTCATGTCTCCCCACTTTTCGATTTATTATCACTTATCCATTTATAATCTGGGCCACTGTGCTAGTGTGTCAGGTTATATATATATTTTTTAATTTTATTATGTTATGTTAATCACCATACATTACATCATTAGTTTTTGATGTAGTGTTCCATGATTCATTGTTTGCATATAACACCCAGTGCTCCATTCAGTATGTGCCCTCTTTAATACCCATCACCAGGCTAACCCATCCCCCCACCCCTCCAACACCCTCAGTTTGTTTCTCAGAGTCCATAGTCTCTCATGGTTCGTCTCCCCCTCCAATTTCCCCCCCTTCATTCTACCAAGTCATTTTTATTCATTTTAGGAAGCCCAGAGTATGGTGTAAGAGTACTTTAAGAGATTAGGGCAGTCACTGTACTTGATGCCACTAGCATGTACTTTTCTTCCACTATTTCCTCCCCGCCGCCCCTCCCCTCCCCAGACTGATAACTTAGAAAAGCTATTTAAGCCATCTTTACACAGTTCTAAATCCCTGGAATTAGTCTTGAGTTTTTACTGGACTTTTAAAGCCTCTAATGAAAAGATTCTACAATTTCTCTCAGTATGCTCTTCTCTGAAAAATTACTGTCAATCAAGAAAAAAAAATTTAGGTTTAATCTAAATGTCTTCTACAATAAAAACAACATACAAAATATTTCATGATGCACTATTTATACCACAATGATAAATTCTGAAAAATTCTGTATTTTTCATATTAACTCCTAGCTGTAAGTCAATAAATTTACCATCTTCCCTTTGTAAAAATTGTATAAAACATGTTATATACATTGGCTCCAGCAAAATATTTTTAGCTGTAATTTTAATGATTTACATCTTTAGCTAAGGCAGCAGGTATGCTGGAAAAAAATTATTAATGCATGTTGATGATGAGAGATCAAAAATACCTGCTCTACTTCCAGGAGTGTTAGAACAAAATAATGTGGAAGAGCTTCATAAACTGCCATACAAAGGTATCACAGGGATACTTTCCATGTGAAATGATCTTCATCAGGTGGGCCACCCAGACATTTTGAGTGACTCGGCAATTTTAAATTGCTCATGTTCGTTCTGACACATTATTATTGCTAACCCTTACTCCACTGAAATGGATGAACACACAGCCATGTACAGGATACAAAGTCCAGTGGGATGAAGGGATATAACTTACTTATCTAGCCCTCTTCCCTTAAGGTCACATAGACATCCTTAATCTTGTTCAGAAGAATTAAACTTTTTGTTAACTTACTTTAAATCA